AGGGGCTGCCCGCCCCGCCCCGGGCGGCACTTTTTAGGGGGCGGCAAAATTTCACAATAAATAATAATAATATATTGTAAAAATTTGAAACATCCTAATCTATACTTGTATCGCGCCTACGATAGTGCTATCGTCCGGACAGCCCGGGAATCGGCTCACCGTCCGGGCGAACTAGTAATTTTTTCATCCGAGGAAATCCTGCGAAACCTGTTGACCCTTTTTTTTTGCTTGTACGATTCATTCGCGTTCATATACACCACTAATATCCAATAGAACTATTTTAAACAGGTCGCTGCGCTACCACCGAATTTTTCATTGCTTGTTCTGTGAAAAAAACGAAAATTGGGCCTTTAAAATGAAAAAACCAAAAAAAGGGGGGCCGAAATTTTCCTCCGCCCCGGGCGGCTGACATCCACAGTACGCCACTGGTCTGACCCTGCCTATCCTTCTTTTTAAGCGCTTGTCTTTGCTCTTTCCTCTATCGCTCCAGTCCACGTATGCCTATGCATACATCATTATATGTGCTCACGATACCTTCGATTTGTCACTTTTCCGTCGTAGATTTCCCATTTTACAATTACGTGACTCATAGCCTGGTGATAAAGGAGAAAAGAGACAGATAGGACGTCAAACTAAGTCACAGTTATGATTTCACAGATTCCAGACAGCTTGGTAGCCCGTACGGTCCCAGGTTTTCGCCCGTGCACGCTAAGTGACTTTAATTACAAGCATTTAGCTTTCCGAAGTCTATGACAACAATTGTTTGGCATTGACGGCCGCGAATTTCCTGCCAATAAGCTGCTTTCGACTTGTTCGATTATGTTATCAACTCAATTTCATATTTATTTTCACATTTTCACTCCGCGGTCCTTCTCTGTTCTTTTTCCGTTATTTACACGTGTAGGTAATTTCATTGTTATCCACATTTGATATCATCATTTATCACATACTTCCATGACACTGTTGTCTGTCCGCTACAACTGCCAAGAATTAACGCGATTGGAAGCGTAGTGACAGCGGACCAATAGAGAGCAGTATCCTTGCCATAATGCGGTTTGCGCGCCAATTTTCGTACGTGCGTTAATCGAGCCGAATAGTTTGGCCGAATATTCGGCTATTCGGCCACGCTCTTGGCCGAATATACTATTCGTTGCAACACTAATTTCTATGTGACTGCTTTTATTTTTTCGGATTGATTACATAGATTGTAAGGCAATACCTGGCGATTTGCAAATAGAATGCCTCCCGGGAGAACTTTCTAGTGAAACTGGCTTCTATTTAAATGTTAGATTGGTGAAGAAAACGCGACCTGCCCGTTGGTGAGAACCCGAACCCACGAACCTAGTGTTGATTAGTTTTATTCACTCACTTTATTATTATTAATTTGTTTTTTTTTCGTTCGGCTCAATAGTTAACGATGCTTCCCAGGTTTCACATATAAAATTTACAACTTTATATCGAAAGAATGTCATCGAAATCGGAGATAAATTTTGTGGCACACAATATTAAAATCTTTAGATATTCATTGGAGGTGATGCTCGATATTTTGGTTTTATGTACTGTATTTAATGAACTGTATTACTATATTATATGTATTTCGTATAAGTGAAATATTTTTGAAAATAATAGCAAAACCTCAAAACCTTCTTAAAATTTAAAATTGTCTTCTGGCAGAGATTTGTAAAAATTTAACAAACACACTTCTGTAAATAGGTTTTTACGAAAAATCATTTGCAACAAGGTCTAATAATTCTAAATGACTTCGAAAGTTTTTATGCTTTGAATTAGTTCTAATGATGATAAAACGTGTCGGTGAAAATGAGCCAAGCGGGCTTGATAAATATCCTTCGGGGCCGTATTTGATCCACATGCCGTAGGTTGAAGATTCCTGTCTCTTAGGGCTATTTCACACTGTGACCGACTGGTCCGACTCCAAGTTGTGTTGCCATGGCAACAGCAGTCGTTGAACCGACTGGTCGTTCCAGTTGGACAGATTTAAGAGTTAAATATTTGTAGTCGGATCGGAGCTACAGCCAATGAGAGCTTCGAAACTACAACCAATCAGACTTTGGATATATGAAAACTATCAAATGAATCAAACATAACTTTACATTATATATACAGCGGGTGATCGGATAACGAACACGTTCCCGAAAGATTTTTATGTTCGGTCAACAAACACATATTCAGACAACGAACACCTCACAGAACAAACACAAGAAGAACCGACCTAAAATAATGAATATTGATTGGTCTTCCCTTGTCTTTGGGCAACAATTCGAAACTTTTCGGAGGGCGGGAGATGTCGACATCGACGCTCAACCCGGTATATACTGATCGGATAGTATTCCTCCGAACTTTGAAACTCTCCCTTGTAACTCCAACCTTTTATTTTTCTGACAGAAACAATTCTTTTATAGTATTTACGAGACTGTCGGACGGGCACTCAAGTTTTGCGTCGGTTTTTATTTTCGAAAGGTGAGAGTGGGCAAAGATGTTTGATGTTGTTGGGCAGTATGGCTTGAACAGGTCTACAGTAGGCCACAGTTCAATCTTATCTAAGAAAGATATTGTATTATGAAAAAGACTCAAGCAGCTTAAGAAGTAACAAAAATCACATCTGAGAAATAAATAACACTGAAGAGCTCATAATGGAACCTGAAACGGATCTGACGACAGAAGAACACCAATAACTCTTGAATGAAGAACACCGAGAAATTCGGCGAGATATGCTTTCTTCTGAAAAAGAGGATTAATGCCGATATCTGCTATTAAAGATCTTTTGAAGAAGTGGTGAATGTCAGATCAACGGTCTTAGAATGACATACAAACGAGGTTGAGGTTAATAGGCTTGGGGATCTCTACAATTACAATGTTATTAATTACTTGGGAAAATCCTGAAGGAGAGCGAAAAGCAGTCGACATTAGATAGATTCTTTAACCCCACAAACAAAAAAACATAACTAATAAAAATGCAAGACTGTGTATATATGTATTTTTATTATTACATATACTGATAGCGAACAAAGTCTTGGAACGGATTATGTTCGTTAACCGATCACCCACTGTACTTCTAATTTATTTAAATTTTTCCTTGTATTTTATTTCTTTCATAACTGTTTAAATTTTATATTAGAGTTGCAATAAGAAGAGTCTTACTGCGCGGTTTTCCTGTTAAATGTATTAGTAATTTTAATTATTTCCTATAATTATACTGCATTCTATTTTAAAATATTACGTCAATATTTTATATAAAAAGTCTTGGAACGGATTATGTTCGTTAACCGATCACCCACTGTACTTCTAATTTATTTAAATTTTTCCTTGTATTTTATTTCTTTCATAACTGTTTAAATTTTATATTAGAGTTGCAATAAGAAGAGTCTTACTGCGCGGTTTTCCTGTTAAATGTATTAGTAATTTTAATTATTTCCTATAATTATACTGCATTCTATTTTAAAATATTACGTCAATATTTTATATAAATAACAAATTAGCTATTAAATTACAACTTTTGTATTTGGTAAAAAGATCAAATGACAGATAATAATAATACATAAAAAAATTCTAGTCAGATGAAAAATTAAATAAATGGATAAATAAAATATAACTAAAAAATTTTATTAAATTAATTTTTATGCATTGAATAACACGTGACAAATGCCGATTGAATTTAAATTGGGAATCGGTTTTGTTAGACGACATACAACTTATAATTATAAAAAAAAATAATATATATAATTAATTATAATTTTTACTCAAAATATTTTATAAGATTTGTAAATATTTTAAAAAAATATATAATTAATGATGCAATAAAATACATTATATTAATTAATCGACATCATTTATTTATAATAAAGTTATAAAATACAGTTATAAAATTTAACGTATTACAAAATAAATTTATCATTATTATTACTTTTTTTTTTAAATGTATAGTTCCGTTATATTTTACGCGTAAGAAATTAAAAAATGAAAATAAATTTAAATAATTTGATGATGACGCATGCTCTATACTTTTGTTTTCATTTCGTGTCACGGGTTCGGTACGATGTGGTTTCTATTAACAAACTAACCAACGTGTTCTCTTATTAAAATGGAATTAATGGGTAGAAAGTTAACGTGAGTATATCTTATATTTAACGAATTATCAATGTAATAATTTATGAATTAACGTTTGTAAATGATAGCGCGATTATAAACTTTTTCGGCCTCAAAAACTTTATTTTGAAAGTTGTATTGTTACGTATAATTAAAAACTTTCTAATTAATTGAATGATAAAATTATATCGTCAGAAATCCGCTTGGTTTGTATGCTTTGATTATTTTAATCAATCTTATATGATACTGTAGCCTATCTTGCTTGACCTTAACAACTGTAATAAGAAGTTTATATGATTGATTGTTATCTTATTTCAAAGGTCAGTCTTATTTCAACAAGCTTCAAAAAATTGAATGTGAATTTCTATGTTTTATATGGATAAATTTTGTCTTAATTTATTATCTATTCTCATTTAATGTTATAAATAAATATTTTGTATATATTTTGTATTTATAACATTGAGTAAAGCTAATTCTGTACAAAATTTTTAATATAATAATAAAAGTGATGCTGTGGTGCCTGTGTAGAATTTTTAAAACATTCTTAAAGTTTTGCTATGAGGAAAGTTTGTTTTAAAATGCATTTGTTTAAACAAATATTGAAAATTTGTGTGTTTATTATGACTGTGCTGAAATACTATAATCTATAAATTGAAATAGGGTTTCGGTTTTTTTGACTTAGTTTGAGTAAATGGCTGGGGCTAAAAATATGGTTCGGCTATCAAATTAAAGCTTTTATCCCATAGATCAGCGATTCCCAACCTGTGGTACGCGTACCCCTAGGGGTACGCGATAGGTTGTTTAGGGGTACAGAAAAAAGTTAGTTATTATGGCAGAAAAAATAATATATTATGTATCACAAACTAATAGTATTAAAAAATTATTAGATAAATAATGTTCCTTGCAACAATCACAACTTTATTATACATTTTTTCTTTTAGTTTTTTTTTTATTTAATTTAAAGTTACAATATGTAAAATTAACAATACAGTTACTCACTAAATTTCTTAAATGAGGGGTACAATCTAGAGATATGGCATGTCACGGGGTACACTAATGAAAAAAGGTTGGGAACCACTGCCATAGATGATGCCCTGAAGAGTGGTTTGAGAAGGATGTAATTGTTCAAATGTGATGAAGAGGCAAATGTACAATGTTGTCTTTTTTGGACAAATATGTTGGGGTCTTGTGCCACTGTTAAGTTTAGCCTGAGCAAATTTTGTTTTCCAGTTTTAGTATTGTAAATACTGAGGTCCATAGATGTACATTTTTATTTACTAAGACCATTGTTTTTATCACCTTCTCCCAACTCCATCTCACCAATCCCCTGTTCAAAAGCCTGAGCAGTTCCAGGCATATTCATGGTAATGATATAAGTCGCATGATTTTTATAAAAAAGAAATTAATATTATAATTAATTTTTTTGAAGGCTTATTATTTCTTTGTAAGTGACATTTATTTCTATTATCTAATTTTTTTAAAAATAGTTTTTTGTTAATGCAGTTGAACTTTGTTGTGCTCAAAGCTGCTTGTCCTATTCAATTGTACTTCTTAAGTCTCAAAACTCAAGTGTAGGACTTAACATGCAGGATGAGTGTTTAAAAGAGAATCACAAAATTAATCACTTTGAATTGTTGTCTAGAATATATTTTGGGTCTAAATTCTCTTCAGTTGTTGACTACTACTACTATACTCAGGGCCAGTTATTTTTAATAAAGTCACAAGACAAAATATATTTTTAATTTAATATTAACTAATGGGGGTGCTTTTGACAGTGCTGGCTGTTGATGTGTTTTTTTACGTCTTACTGTTATGGTCTACAATTCAGCTGTTTGCCATTAATTGAGTTTACTGAGGATGTTGTTTTCTACTGTAATACTTTATTTTTTAATTTTGTTCTTTTTACTTATTATTGGAGGGGTTGAATTTAATCCAGGCCTAATGTCTTATCCCCATAATAAAGCTTAGATTTCTACTGAGAAATGTCGTCAATTGCCAAACGAACCAACATTGAAATTGTCTTGACTGGACGATTATTTTGCATCGCAGGATATTTCTCCTCAAATACCTCAGAAGATTCTGAGGAATGTTTTGATACTATTTTATCGAAACTGGAAGAATTGTCAATGTTCGACCAGTTGTCTAATTTGTGTAAGGAGTATGAAGAATGACTAACATTCCTGGAAGGAGAAGTTAATGAACTTTCAACTTTTAGAACTGTATGTATGGATAATTTTTCTCTTCAGACTCTGTATACAACAATTTGAAGGAAAATAACATTATCATTTCTGGTTTGAGTAGTAGTGATTAAAGAATTAATAATGCTGACTGCTTTATTGAGTTGTTTAAAAGACAGAATGGGGAGTCTATTCCTTTTATTAACAGTTATCCAATATCAGTAACTCTGCTTGTATTGTTTGAGCTCTATACTCAAGCTAACAAAAGACTTATTTGTAAAAATTTAAAGAAAATTCAGGAGTAGCCATCCTACTCATGCATTAGAGTTTTTGATGATTTGTTGTATAGATCAGGACTAATGTTTAAATATTTAAAAATTTGGAACACAGCTGTATTCTACGGTTAGTACTTTTTAAATGATAGAACTGTTTTTTTTTTTTGTGTGTTTCATACATTTCTGAGGAGGGCTTCTAAAAGACAGCCAAAAACGTTTGAACATTACAATTTTTGTTCATTCAATGCTGGAATTAGCATTTAGGTGTTAATTGTTGTGTCTGCTTTTATTGATCTCAAGAAGGCTTTTGATACAGTCAATCATGATTTGTTATGGTATAAGCTTAGGAATATAGGTTTTTTTGCATTTTTTTTTTGTTAATTTACTTAAGAGTCTTTTCTCTAATACAAGATATCTTATAGAGATTTTTTCATTTTGTATTGATTATGTTGAGTCCAATAGTGTGTTACCTCAAGGAGAACCATTGAGTCCTATCTTTTTATTTTGTTTTTGAATGATTTTCCTGACCTTCTGAGAAGTCAAAGCTCTATGATAGCATTGTCTTCTTGTGTTGAAATTAACTGTCTTTATGCTGATGATGTCCTTCTCTTGGCTAATTCAACTTCTGTACTTAGGGGAAGACTCAATCTTAGGCCAGGAACACACATGCGTAAAATTCGGCGTAAAATCTAGCATAAAACAGAAAACGTAAAAATTTTTCTGAAATTTTGGCTGAAACAAAACTGAAAATAGAGTAGAGCATGTCTCTACTTTTTACGCCGAAACATTTTTACGCCAAAATTCCTCCAATAAAGAGAAGTCTTTCCTGTGACGTCGAAGTAGACACGTGGTTTTTATTCTAACAATGGCGGCAATGAGGGTTAACCCTACAATTGTGATGGTCTCGAAAAAACGAAAAATAAATGAAATAGAGGAGTTTATTGAATCCGTTCGACCAAATCAGTGTCATGTATAAAGACACTGTATTTAAACAACGTTTATGGATGGCTACAGGTGTTAAATTTCAAATAACAGGTAAGTCTAGTAGAATCGATATATAGGCCTAGTATTTATATCACACGTTCTTTATTTGAATTTGGAATACGAGTCTATTAATTTAAATTTTCTATATTATAGCAGAGGAAGTGTAGAAAAAATGGAAGGTACAAAGGAATAGATAGCCTATATGAGAGGAAAAAATTAATAAAATTAGTACTGTTGGTGGCAGTGGTGTTTTCTATTCGGCCAGAATTTTTACGTATGTGTGTTCTGGCATAAAAGCGTAAAACAGAAACTGAACTGAAAGCTGATTTCTGATTCAGTTTTCTGCCACACAATTTTACGCATGTGTGTTCCTGGCCTTACTTGGAGATATTAGAGAGGTTGCAGCCAACATTTTCAACACAAAAATGTCAGCCGCAACCTCTCTATTGTGAAGATAATTGATTGACAATTAATTTAGAAAAGACAAAGCTTATGATTTTTCAAAGAGTGGTAAACTTAAACAGACAATTTGAAATTGTGCTAAATTTTAAATATCTAGGTATTTATTTTTCTTCACAGGGTGCATTTTCCTGTCATTTAAATAAAAGTTTACTTGATGCAAGAGCTAAAATCTCCAATCTCATCAAGTTATTTATTAAAATTAAAACATCTTCATTAAATAATTATTTTAGATTATTTGACTCCTTGATTGGACCTTTCCGCTTTGGGATGGTCTCTTAGTGGACAGATTTGAGGCAATGCAGTTGTTTTACTTTAAGCAGGTGTTCCATATTAATAGATCTGTTCCAGGACCTGCACTGAGAGTGGAATTGGTAAGACCTTCCCTCGCTATTAATTTATTGGTAAATTTGTTTTGGTTTTGGAGGAAACTTATTGACCTACTGGAAGACGGTTATCAAAAATTAATATATATGACTTTCACAGATAAATGATAATTCTTTTTTGGAGCCATGGCCTGTTATAGTTAAAGAATTATTAAATAATATTGGATTGTCCTCTAGTTATATGTATTTAAGTGAAAGTTTGTTCCTACTGGACTGTGATTAATGACTAAGAGATTTATGTTGGTCAAAAGATGTTCATTATTTGAGTGAAAGGGTTGAGACTCTGGAACTTTTCTTAATGGAATATGGACTCCAGTACTATATTTATTATCTAATTTGAGTTACAAAATAGTCATTTGCTGCATAATTCAGATTAAATAAATTATTGATAAACTTAAACAGTAAAATAATTAGTCTCATGTGACATTGAGTGTTCTTTTTGTGGAATGACAGTGATGAATATGAGAAAACGCCACCTTGATTCTTGTAATATATTTTTGGATATCTGAGCTGCTACACTAACATCTGATTTTTGTTATCAAATTTTATTTGATGACAGTTTTGTCATGTTAACATTATATAAATTTTTTGTTCATATATCAAATTTAAAGTAACAGTGAACCCCCTTTGTAATAACATCCATTATATCAAATAATAAAGATTGATTGATATTAACCAACAAAAGGCATATATAATGCCATTTACTGAATACTAAATACAGAGCATAAACTAGCCTAAAAATTTGAGTCATAATGACTCATTAGGTTTATAAATGTGACTCATAAATTGACCCACATCAGTCAGTTTTGAAAAAATGCATTTATTGTGTACTTTGTACAATATTACAAGTTGAAATGTATTGCATATGTTAGAACTGTTAAGAAATATAAAACTGGTACTGTACTGTACATGAAAATTAAACACTAATGTTTACATTTGTTTACACTGAATAGTCAGTCAGATGAAAAATATTACAACAAAATGGGTTGTAATAAGGTTTTTCCAATATGAGTTTATCACATGTTTGGGATCATTTTATAGTCAGTAGAGATGTTTTTCAGAAAAAATGCTTGAGACAAAATTATCTTATTTATCTAACCACCTAAAAGGGGTTTTTGGACTAAAAAACAAATTGTCCTTGTAATCCAACTATTTACTGGAGTTCAAGAATTACTCAAGCAATTTTAATTTCCAGATGTTTTATTTATATTCATTTAGATAAATAAGTGATTAAACCAGCTAATATTGCTAAATTTATCTGATTAACAAAATTACCTTATTTTTTCAAGTTTAATCCAAGTCTAAATTAAAAAAATACGGTATTTATTTAAAAAATTTTAACTTTTGACATGGATGTCCCATTCCAGGCATTGTAAGAAGTTCATAAAATCACTATATAATAGAGTATGATTTAGATGAAGCTTGTTGCTATTTTAAAAGGGTATATGGGTGGTCTGTGTCACTCTATATATTAAACTATTGCCTGTTATCTCATACTGAAGCATGAATTTCTTAGTATATTTCTACATGCAAACTTAAGACTTTGAATTAAATTAAAAATAGGATTAAATGTCTTAAGTGTGATGAATCAGTACATTTGATTCATATTTCTTGGTTTCAAATATATAAATGTAGGTTTGCATTAAACATTATTTAGTACAGTATAACTTATCTAGAATTTGGGTTCTAACCTCATTAATTAAAATTGGTTATTTATAAGAAGAAACCTTCAACTTTAAATAATAAGGATAATTAGAGTATAAAAAAAATCTTTTTTGATGAAAAGGGATGGTTTAGTGAATTTAAATAGAACTTGTTCCAGAACATTTTTCGTTCAAAAAAGTGTTCCAAATTTAGAAGTTTGGCTATAAAATCTTCGATAGAAAGTCTGATGCTGTCCCCTGAATGTTTGCTGTATATATATAGTGAAATTACTGGAAACATGAGAAAAAGTCTGTTTATTATCTATTCATACGTAAGTTTTTATGGATCAGAGAATTCTAACATCTATCTCATATACCAAAAATTTCAAATTAAACTTATTTTATAATAATGTAATTTAAATATCTGAATATTTTTATAGAATTTAATGTTTTAAAATATAGACAAATTGTTATTCATTATTTATTTACTATTCTCATTATTTAACTGATTTTTTAAAAAGATATTTGACTCAAAGATATGAATAAACTGTGTTTTTTTTAATATATAAATATAATATATATAATTATATATATTATATATTATAAATATATATTAATATATATAAATTATATATATAATACCAATCATACTAGGCAATGGTAATCACATTACGGATATATTGTGCACTGTGAACCTTATCTTCCCATTAGAAATCAAGTATGAGTACATTGTTAGGAAAGCAAAATTCACAATCCTAGAGAATGTCTTGCATTTTGGAAAAGTGAGGCTCTTTTCAACACCCAGAAACCCAAAGGAGGACAAAATTGTGGAAAAAAAATCATTTATAAACATGCTAAACACCACCAATGTATTAATTATAACGATGCAAATTGCCTTTCAACAGTATGAAAATACTGTATACAGGTATACCTCGACTTACGTTGTTCCCGATTGTACGTTGTTTGTCAAAAAAGTATATGGAAAAATAAAAATCAAGTTTGTCATTTTATTCGACTTTACGTCTGTCCGCCACAAATATTGAAGTCATAATATCACTAAAAAAGCGTTTAAAGCACATAAAATCATATTAAAATATATACATTTACATGTACTGTATTTACAGTACATGCATTTGTAAATTTAGATTACTTTTTTCGATACTATATTAAAAACTAAAATTTATTTGTTTGTAAGCTTAAAATAGATCCTTATTAACCATATATTATTAAAGATGCATTAGTAAATAAAATACAGAACCGGGAATGGTAATTTATGGTTTAGCCTAGTGACAAGTAAATTTGGAGACAAGTAAATTCGACTTATGTCGCCTCTCCTGGAACCAGTTACCAATGTAAGGCGAGGTATACCTGTACTTGCACTTTCCCTTTTTTTGTCCTGATGTCACTTCTTCTCAGGTGCCATGTGAGAAGCCTTCTGATTAGTCCAGGGATGTGATATGTGAGAGAAACTGACTTCCAGAGAGTGGGAAGTATAAATTAGCAAACATTCACAATTTGTGCTCTCTTACTTTTTGGATTCTTTGGGGATGCTAGCCAGGTGAGAAGTCATCAAGAACCTCTGAGCTGAACCGGGAGATGATCATCTCGACCAGTGTTTCTCAACAGGAGCGATATTGCCCCCATGTAAGCATTTTTCAATGTTGAGGAGGCAATTAGTAACAATATTTTGGGAGATGAAAAACAATTTTCTGGGCAGTATAGTAAAACATTATATTAAGAATAATTAGATATTTTATTCGTTATATTGTACAATAATTAAACAAATAAATTATACTAGTCACTAGTCTATTCAATGCAGTACGAATTTAGCATTAGTCTTGTCCCTCAGCGTCGGAATTTTGTAGTGAAGGAGGCGATACTATGTAATGGTTTTATTGAAGGGGGCAACGATTCGTTAGAGGTTGAGAAACACTGATCTAGACAAAAGGACTACCTTTAATTTGAGCAGTACAATCCATTTCCATTAAAGAATGGCAACAAGGGATATATGTCTTATGCATTAATTACATCGAGGTTGCCAATAGAACTATTAGTTTCATGATATTGGTGTTTTGAATGCATGTGTCCAGTCACATTCACAACTAATATATTATTGTGGATCGTTAAGGGCTACCATGTACGTACATTAACTATAAATTAGGAAAGGGCAATGTGTATATAGTCTTGTAAATCTGTTAGTTTTAAGTCATGAATTAGATATATTGTGTAAATCGAGTTGTAGTTCCCACATCGTGTAATTATCCCACTATGTTATCATGCTGTTAGGTAAAATCTTGCCCAAAAATCTTTATTCTATGTGCACTGTCATGGCAGCACTTCCAGTCATGAATGTTTATGCTCCCAACAGATTCCTCCTGGAGGAAAGCTGCTGGCAGGCTGTGGATTGTTTAACGTCACTAGTTATTGATACATACTAGTTATTGATTTATGTGTTCAAGAACTACCATGAATCAATAACTAGTGACGTTAAACAATCTGCGGCCTGCCAGCGGCTCCCCTTTGGGAGGAGTCTGTCGGGAGCACGAACAGTTGCGACTGATAGAATTCTTAAAATTTACCAACTGTGCTGCCTACATTGAAATTCAAAAGACACTTGATGTCAAGATTACAGAAGTGCAGCCATGATGGTGCACATAGGGAAAATCTTACTGATTTTTTTGAATTTCTGTGAGATGAATAATTACTTTTTCACAAATTAAAGACAAAATTGCTCTAAAAATATATTTCAGACGATAACCATTTTTACTTAGTGTTCTAGAACAAATTACTGATTTTTGTTTGTCGATTATGTGCAC